CAAAACCTTTTGCTTAACAGGGTTCAAGGATCATCGCTACTCTTTTGGATCCGGAAGGCAAAAAGTGACTTCAGGCGAAGGACAAGGAGCTCAACACGTGAAAAGAGAGTGTAGCCGCGCCGAATGATTCATTCTTGTATCAGTATGAATTATCGTATTTTCTTCTGGCACGTTTATTTTGTTGCACAATTAACCAACGCAATATCACGAACCCGTAACAGATGAGGATACTATATTGCACTGGAAACTTATTACACAAACGGAGCAAACATCACCTAGGAGATACTATAGGGGCAACCATGCACAGCAAGGCCACCCTCCATTATTAACCAAAAGTACCACACACTATACATACATATATAGCGATAAACCATAGCTGCAAGTGTTGGATTTAAAGGATTTGAAGCAGCTGCTTTGGCGGCGGCGGCTAGTAGTCCTCCGGCGCGAGCGGCTGGTGGGCGTGGGCGGCGGTCTCGGTAGACGGCATGACGACGTACTCGTAGAGGAGCCCAGCGAGGCCGGAGCCGAGGAAGGGCCCGAGCCAGTAGACCCAGTGGTGCCTCCACCGCCACCCGACGAGCGCCGGCCCGAAGACCCGCGCCGGGTTCATCGCGGCGCCATCGAACGGCCCGCCGGCGAGTATGTTAGCCCCGAGCAGGAACCCCACGGCGAGCGGCCCGATGGTGCCCACGTGGCCCCTCTTGGGGTCGATGACCGTCGCGTAGTAGGCGTACATGAGCCCGAACGTCATCACCGCCTCCAGCAGCACCGCGTGCCAATCCCCCACCCCCGACGCCAGGGAGAAACCGGGCGGCCGCTGCGAACACCATCCATCACAAGATTAATTAATTAATCAGTTAGCTTCTGCGATGATTAATTAGATAGACGGTGCTCGCGAGGAAGATCGAAGAAAGATGGTAGTACCATGCCTCCGGTGGTGAGGCGGAGGAGGAGGGAGGCGACGATGGCTCCGAGGAGCTGCGCGATCCAGTAGAGGAGGGCGCGCACGAGGGTGATGCGCCCGCCGAGCAGCGCGCCGAAGGTGATGGCCGGGTTGACGTGCCCCCCGGAGATGTTCACGGCTACGGACACCGCCACGGCCAGCGCCAGCGCGTGTGCCAGCGCCACGGCCACCAGCCCGCCCGCCGTGCTCATGTCATGGTAGAGCTTCCCTGCAAGCACACACATGCACACACGTACGTCTTGAGACCGTCGATATTTAAGCAAGCTAGGCTACATAGACGCATGGTACGGTGGACGAAGCTGGCCGTGCATGCACGGACGGATGGGTGCTCGTATAGCTGGGTGGGGTGCGTACCGAGGGAGAGGATGGAGCCCTCGGCGGCGAAGACGAAGATGGCCGTGGCGAGGAACTCGGAGATGGCGGCGCGGATGGTGTCCGGGTGCGTCGCGTCCTCGCTGCGCCCCATGGTGAACCCCCGCCGCCCCGTCGTCCGCGCCGCCGTGCTCATCTTCACTGACCGACGTACGTACGTACCAAAGCAAGCAAGCAAGCAAGCCGCTCTTCTCTGCTAAACTCAACTCGTCTTTCTTGCCGACGATACGAGGATGTGACCAAGTGTGGCCGCACTGGCGTTAATACAAGTAGTAGCAGTGTGTGTGGGTTGTGAGGATGGCCGCCGCGTGCGCGCGTGGCTTATAACGTGGCCGCGGGTGGAGCCGTCGCCGCTACACGTGTGCGGGAGGACGCCCCAGAGCGGTGGCACGTCTCGCGTCTGGTCAGGAGGCTCGGTTGCCCGTGCATGCCAAGCCCGGCGTGTGCGGCGCGCACCCACCGCGCGCGACCATATGTAGTAGTACGTGTAGTGTGTGTGACCCGCGGCGGCTTCGCTCGGCGTGTTGATCTTATCCGGTGGCCAGGCTCCTCGCACCACCTGCCAGGTCATGGACATGCATGCAAGACACTGCGGCGCGGGTAGGTGCGGTGCTCTGCCTTGCCTTGCCTTACGCACGAAGTTTCGCGGGAGCAGAGCACCTATAGCTCAGCTGGCTGAAATTTTTGTCTGCACCAGTCAATTTTACTCTGGAACGTCTGATTCACATCCAACGTAGGCCGTTGACCCAAGTTGAGTTTCACTCGATTTCAACACACAGCCCGATCAAAGCCCAGCAGCAGAATAGAAGTGCTACTATCTAAACCCAACCGATCAAAGCCCAGCAAACAACTGCATGGCTGCTCCAGCGAGGTACTACTAATCATCGCCATATGTCATCAACGAGCGCATGCTGTCTTTGTGGTGTAGAGGACACGTGGAGGCACGCACTGCTTAATTGTTCAGCAGCAAGAAGTATTTGGGCACTGTCTACAGATGCAATTACTGAACAGTTGAGTACAAACGTTGATGATGATGCAAAACGTTGGTTGTTTGCTACGCATGATTCGCGTGCACATGACGAGTTCATCACCTTTGTAATGACTCTTTGGCAAGTGTGGGGAGCGCGACGGAAAGCAATATACGAGGACATCTATCAAAGCCCATTCGCTGTCCATAGCTTTGTCCAACATCCCATAGTTAGATTCATGTCTAAACATGGGCTCTCTCAGAGCTCAGGGAGTTTGGACCGTCAGATCTCAGACTTGATGCGATTTTGGGCGTTCGATCTGCCCATGGGATCAGCTGGGCCGTTGGATAAAATTCACCTCCGAGCTGCTCTACGCCGCGCTGCTTTTCTCACGTTGCCCGTTCCGTCGCGTCTCTCTGTCGCGTGGGCTCGGTGCCTGGTGGGGCTCCCTGTCGGCGTCGTGTGTGCGGCTGGCCGCGGTGTGTGACTTCAGCGCTGGATCGTGCGGTGGCTCCGCCTGTGGTTTTGAGAGCCCGCCGATGGCAGTTTGGGGATTTCCTTTGTCGGCCCTTCGCGTGTCAGATGCTGGTTGGCTTGGGCGTGGATGAGGTGAGCGAGGGGTGCGTCTATCTTCTTCCTGCTTCTCATTCGTCCCTTCCTCTCCGCTCCGTCCCTTTCTCTCCGCTGCGTCCCTTTTCGCCAGATCTGACGCCCTTTCGGCTTGTCGTTGCCTCGCCGCCGTGACAAAGGTTCGTCTCTTTCGCCCTTGTCCGCTTCTTGCTTTTCGTCGCGTCTGATTTGCCTGGTCGTTTGCTTGCAGTTGGGAGAAGGGTGTTGGTCGTCGTCTTGGGGTTGGGCCGGAGCAGCGGTGGGCTGGACGCCGCTTCCTACTGTCTTCGAGCGATGGGAGAGGTGCTTTCCTGCTCTTACTTTCCCCCCGTTCAATTTGTTCTCCTGCGCTGCTGTTAACTCGTCGTGCCTGCTGCTGTTCTAGGGTTAGGGTCTGTCGTTTGCCGTTCGATTGGTGACTGTTGCGGGTTGGCAGCGCGCCGTGTAGCTGCGAGACAACTTCCCTGTTGATCTGCCGTCCTGCTGCAGGTGCGAGAGGAAATCTCATCTTTCCTTATCCGTAAATTGATTTTGTTTTCCTGTTTCTCCTTACCTCGTCTTTGTCTGTTGTTTGGGCTTTTTTGTGTGTGGGGTCTGCTTATTTTCAGTTATTCGCTGTTGTGGCAGGATGTTTACTGTCAGTTGTTCATACATCCACCTGTTAGATGTTGTTGTTTCTCGATGCCGTGTGCCATTTTATTCATACTTAAGAGAGATGATGGATGATGGAGACATTCTTGGAGGAGTGGAGCTTGATGTTAATGTTCCTGGGAGTGATAGTCTCACTATCAGAAGATTTTTCTGGGCACAAGACAGGGTTGACTCTCTGTTTGCTTATGAGGGTGCTGCTTTCCAGGCAATTATATACTTGCAGCGTTTGTATGGGTTTGTCATTGTTGATTACAATTATACACCCATGACCACCTATCGAGACCTTGCTCGCTCAACGGTTATTCTAGCTGCATCGTCGGTTAGATCTACCATTCCAGTTGCTTCTGGTGATGGCTCCGTCGCTGTGGGTGACGTCGATGTTGTTGCGCAGCGGCGGATGCTACATGCTGGCTTGGTTTCTACCGCCTGTAGCTTTTAGGGGGTCTGTTTGTGTTGTGCTTGTTGCTCGTTTGTCGGGTTTTTTCCTTGGTTGATTATCATGTATCCGGAGTCTTGTGTGTGCTTATGATGAGATGTCGGTTGTAATGAGATATGGCTATTTACTGTTCTTACATATGTACCTGGCGTTCATGCCGCTTATGAGTAATATAGCTGCTGTTTATGTGTTCTGTGTTGTACAACTTTTTTTACCCTTCTCAGTATGCTACATTGAATATTCCTTTTTCTTTACCCTTCTCCTGCAATGGATAGTGGTTTCTTGTCAGGTATGGTTTATCAGTCAGGTTTACTTGCTTCGTGTTGCATAGTATGCTGATGTATGTGTTTTCAGCCAATGGTATGAGGGTGCTTGATTGTTGTCATGCCACATGCTCCGATTGCTGCCCATGGACGTGGTGATGGGCGGGCCGTTGCTCATGCCCGAGGTTCTGGACCAGCTGGTGCTCGTGGGCGAGCCTCTGCCCGTGGTCGTGGTAATGTAGCCATGCTCGTGCCTAGCGATGTCCTCCCTGGGCCTGTCGCCAGCCGTGGTGGTGCTCGAGCCAGAGGTGTTGGGCGTGGTCGTGCCCGTGGATGAGGTTCTGGTCGTGGTCGTGGTTGTGGTGATGTAGATGGCACCCTCCCTGGGCATGTTGCCGGCCGTGGTGGTGCTCGAGCCAGAGGCGCTGGACGTGGTCGTGCGGGTGAACGACCACCTGGTCGTGGGCGTGGGCATGGTAACGTTTCTTTGCCAGATAGTGCCATTGGCCGTGCTGTTCCTCTTCTTGCCAACGTTCAGCCTGGGCCTATTGCTGCTCGTGGACATGTGCCTGGGACCGCGAAGAGCTATGTGCCCCGTCCACCTCTTGGGGCCCTTCCTCGCAGCCGCCCACGTCTGTCATGTTCACTTGCCATCCTTTTTGTTTTTACCTCCTAGAACCATGTATCTTGCTTGCTCACTATTCTTCTGTTTTCTGTCTTGCTTGTGCCTTGGTTAGGTGATAGTTGGTTTCCCTATCTGAGTCCGGCTGTGACGACGGTTAATCGTATAAAACGGAAGGCGTCCATGAAACTACGTCGGTCTAAATACGAAGGTGCATTGAGTTCTTAGTTGTGTTGTTCTGTTCCTGTTCCACGTCGGCTGACCAGATCTTATGTGGTCTTTTAGATCACGTTGTTATGGGCCCTTTAGAAAGGGATTGGCAGGGTTACTCGGTTGCATTTGCTGAGTCGCTTAAAGGTATTTATTAGCAGGCCATTTAACGTTCTACTGTCTGCTTAGCTTTGTTTGTTTGTTGTCATGGGGTTTGTTTTCCCTGATCACATGTTTTCCGGTTGTTAGCTTCCTATGCAGATAGGTCTTACTGTGGGGCCCCTGAGTTCCTCTGTCAGTACTGTGGTGCCTCCTTCTGGTTTGCTGAATGTGTTCAGTCCAAGTCCTCTTGGACAAAACGTAAGATCATTTATAACCTCTGTTGTAAAGGTGCTCAGGTCTATATACCTCCCTTCAAGGACCCCCCGGCTTATCTCCGGGAGCTCCTTCGTTTCAATGGTACATCACGTGCGAAGAAATTCCTCCGAAATATCCGTCAGTACAATTGTATGTTCGCTTTCACTTCAATGGGTGCTAAAATTGATCACTCACTGGATAGCACCCGTGGTCCTAAAATCTTTAAAATAAGTGGGCAGGTGTCTCACCGTCTTGGTTCATTGTTTCCCAAAGGTAGTGATACTCCTAAGTTTGCTGAACTATATATATATGATCCGGCTAATGAGATTACACATAGGATAAATGCCTTGAATCCCAACGATAAACCGGTAGGAGCTGTGGATGAGAGCATTGTCGTTGGTCTTAGAGACATGCTTGATGAGTTTAACTCGCTGGTACAGACCTTTAGGGAGGCAAGCAAGCTAATAGAGGATCGTGGTGACGAACCCATCGAGGATATTTCCATTCGTATTATTGGTCCTTCAGATGGTGATAGTCCACAGTTTAGCTTACCTACTGCCACTGAACTTGCTGCTTTGGTTGTTAATGACTTCACATTAGAGACGTCTGCACGGGATATTATTGTTTCTAGCCGGTCAGAGGGTCTACAGCAGATCTCTTCTTTGAACACGGCATTTATGTCTTTGCAGTACCCGTTGCTTTTCCCCTATGGAGAGAGAGGGTTCCAAATAGATGTTCCACACCTGATTGTTCCTCAGGACGTGGATGATGATATGCATGTTGATCCTGTAGCTGAGGCATCTCCTTCAGATGCTTCAAGTAGCCAGTCTCCCGGTGGTAGTAGGAATAGAATGACAATGCAGGATTATTACCGCTTTATGTGTCATTACAAAGGTGATCAGCCCAATCCATATTTGTGCTATGGTCTTCTATCCTCTCAGTCGGTCGTTGATGCACGTGCATGCATCGACGAGAACAGGTTGTGGTATATACTCAGAAATCAGGATATGCTTAGGTCCG